TAGTTTTTCCCATGTTGGGTTTCTCCGTGAACAATTCTGGTGTTGTTTACTACTTTATTTATTGTTTTGATATAATTTAGGTATTCAAAGATAGGCTAAATTGGATTGTTTGACTAATCACCTAGACATAATTAACTTGTGACATGTTGCTGGTTAATTAGATTGATAATTCAGCATTTACACCTAATCACCCCCCCCCCCTCTAGGTGTAGTTGGGTCGAATCCTGCGTTTCTCACTTTCCAATAGCAAATAATTCCTTCAAGAATTCAGAGATAGATTTGCCCAAATGTGTAGTTTTCTTCAAATTTCTAAGTAAAACAAGAAAGTCCGGTACACAAATTAATTCATTTCATCAGAGAAAAGGATATTCCAATGAGGTTTGACAGAACACCACCAAACAATATTGAACAAACAAGAAACCCAACAAGCGCACATAATATTCAATAAATCAAGATATCCTCTTTGAAATTCACATGATATCCCGTCATGAGGAGTTGACCAACACTCAAGAGATTGTGCTTGAGTACAGGTTTATAGAAAATATTGGAGACTCAGTTTGTAATGGTAATTATATCAAAGATTGAAGTGGTAATTTAAGCATGTAGGTGTAATTAATAGACCTTGCCTGCAGTTCGTGCACTGCTCAGCTCATGATTGTTGCTATCGATCAGCCTGTCGTCTTCTCTAGACATATTTGATAGGTCAGAGTGAACAAAAGTTTTAATAAATGTGCAATGTCAATTCCTCGTCTTAATATCTGTTGAAAAATTGAAGACGGAACAACAATTTTTAAAAGAATAAAAGATAATATTCAAGAGAACACTTACTTTATTTTTTAACACACAAAATTGACTTATGAAAATAGATACAATCACTAACATTTTATAGGCTCCGCAAAACATTAACTTAATCTAATATATGTACAAGATATTCCTGAAAATAATTCATGAATTTTTCAAGTACATGAATAAACATTAACGTATGCATGAGTAATCCCACAAGATAGGAATGAACTTGACTAAATAAATGATAAACTTGACTAATTAAATGAAGTTATATTTTCAACATCCCCTAAACTTCATTTATTGTAACTCCAAGCAAACTTTAAAACTTCAAAAATGCATTAATCTTCAATGGTTTAGTGAAAATGTCTGCAATTTGGTATTGAGACTTTACAAGCTTCAATTCCACACATTATTTGACAACAAAATCTTGAATAAAATGATACTTCATGTCGGAAGTGCTTGCTTCGATCATGAAGAATTGGATTCTTAGCCAACGATATCGACTTACTATCATCAACAATTTTTTATTTTTTATTTTTTTGGTAAAATCATTTTGTTACAACTTAACTTCATTTATCAAATTTCTTAACAAAATTGCTTGACAAACACTAGATGCAATACCAACACACTTTGTTTCATAACTTGAAAGCATAACAATCGGTTGCTTCTTTGACAATCATGTAAAAGTCGTATCCCCCAAAGAACGTATTACTATTTTTACTCTTTCGATCATCATTATCTCCACCCAATCACTATCACTATAACCAACAAGCTTGGATATGAATAAAATAAACAATAGTGAATAGTACGTTTAATGTATCGCAAAATTCTTTTCATGTCCTACATATGTGTAGTTGTAGGAGAGTCCATTTATTGACTAACAAGACTAACTCCAAACTAAATATATAGTCTTGTACATGTTATAAGTACATCAACTTCCAACAATACTCTTATAAAGAGTCAAATCGACTTTCTTTCCTTTATCAAATTTCGACAATTTTATTTCACATTCAATGGGGGTGCAAATGGGCTGGCAATCATACATCTTGAACCTTTCGAGAATTATTTTAGCATAAGCTTCTTGCGAGATAAAGACTCCATCTTTCTTTTGTTACCCTTCAATGCCCGGATAATAACCTATTAGCCCAACATCTGTCATCTCATATGTTTTCGCCATAATTTTCTTCAACTCATAATATAATTTAGATTCTTGCCTGTAAAAATTATGTCATCCACATACAAACAAATAATTACGATATCACCTTTTATAGAGTGCATGCTCAAAATGACATTTGATAAATCCATTAGATTTGAAAAATATATCGAAACTCGAATTCCACACTGTTGAAGCTTGCTTTAAATCATAAAAATCTCACTTCAACTTCAAAACCTTGTTTTTGTGCCCTTTCACAGCATACTCAAGTTGTAGTATATATACATCTTTTTGTAGAAATCCATTTAAAAATACTGATTTAACATACATTTAGTGAATCTTCCAACCGTTTTGCTCTACCATGGAAACAATTGAGTCTTACAGTTTCGAAATGAGCTACGGGTGCAAATACTCCATGATAATCAATACCATATTTCTGACTATAGCCTTTAGCTACCAATCTTTTCCTGTAGCGTTCGATTTCACATTTGCATTTGTTTCTCCTCAAAAATCCATTTGACTCCAATCGGCTTTTTACCATAATGAAGTGTGACTAACCCCCAAGTGTCATTCTTCTTAATAGCCTTGATCTCTTCGTTCATGGCTTTCTTCAATTTATCACCTAGAATGGCATAAAAAAAAAACCAATAACCGCATGATCGGCAAATAGATAGAATAAAGTTAATTCCCGAAGATATAATATATTTAGCTTGAATCAACTCCATGCTTCTTGAGTAGTCATATTTTGCACACTTTTAGTTCGACAGCAATTCAAAAATACACAGCAAATTGAGCAACTTCGGCCTAGAACTCTTTTGGCTTCTTCTTGTTTTCAACATATTTCAATTTATTTCCATTACAGTCCTATTCTTCCTCTCCGCTACATTATTTCGTTGAGGAGACATAACAAAAGTCAAATAATAATTCTTGAAAGCCTCAAATGCATTAGAATTTCTCCAAGAAAATACACTCATATTTTGCAAGAAAAGTCATCAATAAATAACATGAAGTAACTTTTATCAAATTATGCAAGCTTGATCGGTCTACAATGTTCCTGTGCACTAATTCAAGTAGCCTTTATGCTCAAAAATTTGCTTCTTCCAAAAAAAAAAACCTTCCGAGATTCTTTCTTTCTTCTCCAACAACTTTTCCTTGTGAGCTTGTAGTATGCCCATGACTTTATTCTTCCCAAGCCTTTTTCCTTTAAAGATTCAGAATCTCTCTTGACAAAGTCCCATAAATCGTGACTTTTAAGATATTGACTTCACAGGAATACACCACGTTCTATAGCTATCAGTAATGGACGAGAAATGTAAAGAGAATTGTCATTTACCATCTCTTCATTTCACTTTTTTGGAAACGTGAAGAAAGAGCAATAACTTTTAGAAGATGAGAAGATAATATTCAAGAGAACGCTCATTTTATTTCTTATCACTCAAAATTGACTTGTGAACACAAGCATAATCACTTGCCTTTTATAGGCTTCATAAGACGTGAACTTAATTTACTACATGTACTTGTTATTAAATGCAAACTAATCTCCAAAATAATCCATGTATTTCCCTAGTACATTACTATATGCATACAAAATTACAAAAAGACATGAATGAACTTGACTAAATAAATGATGAACTTGACTAAATTAATGAAATTTATATTTTGAATAATATCATACAACCTTTTGAAAGAATGAACTTTTTAAGAATTTTTCTGTATACTTCCGCTTTGTTCCAGACATTCCGAAGAAAGCTAAGTCAAAAAATTATTAATCAGCTGTGCAAATAAATTGAGAGTTACTTTGTAAAATAGTTTAATCTAGTCAATCAAACTTGAAACACTGGCATTGAAGAGATGAAGTAAAAGAACATCTCAGAGTTTCCTTGGCTTCAGTCAGTTCCAAATTTGTTTCGTATCATCTCCTAAGTAGCTTTAATACATCTCCAACCAAGTGCAACGAACCAGTGACAAGAACCTGAAAGTTCAGAAAACCGGATCGATAATGTTAGTACATTACCAGTCGTTAAGTTTATAAACCTGACATATAAGCGGTTTAAGATATATGAAAGTACTAGTATAATTTTAACCGATAGTTAACTTCCTTCTATCGTTTTACCTGAATCCGAAGGGAAGAGTTTTCTTTAACGCAGTCCCTTAACCAGTTTATTGTCAATGGTAATGAAGAAACAACAACACTGCATGCAAAATGTCCATCTGTAGGACTGCAATTGGAAACATCCTCATGAATGAATCTGCGTGATGGAAAACTTTCGGGAGTTTTCAAATGGAGACTCTTATTAGATACATCTGCAATGGCAAGGGAGACATCAGATCATGCTGATTACAGGCTTCCCAGCCAAAAATGCAACATATAGGTGAAATTTTCAAATATATTATCCTAGAAAAAAATGAGCACATTACAATCTAGATAAACAAAGCACTTCTTAAAATTAACTGGACAATGGCCTTCAGTCATTGTGTCACATGGGTGCCAAAATTTTCTTCAACCAAAAGTGGAAAAGGGGGACAAATCAGACAATTTCTCATACTGGACTTGGAGGCAAGATCAGTACAAATGGAATGAGCGAAAGAGACAGTTAGGTTTATATATCAGTAAAATATTCTTCCATTTTACACTCGACACATCAAGGCATGCAATATGCATGTTTATCAAAGAGGAACGCCAAGCTAGTGAATGAAATCCAAAGTTATTGATGACTAACACTGAAAGAAAAAACAAAATCAGGAACACAATCGATTCAGGAATGAAGCAAATGGGACTAACCTTTTCCATGGATTATCCTCTCCCACACTCTCTGAAGATTAAACTGCCATGTCAAATCCTTGGACAGGCTATCTAAAGGGACAGCCGAGGAAGCAGAAGTAACCTTGCTATATTTTGAGATACTTGGAACAAAAATAGCTTTTGAGAAATAAGTACCTGTAAAACAAGATATCACGTCTCAAAATGAGGAAGTCGTCTGGAGACAAGGAAGAAATATAGAGGAAAACACAAAAGAAAAGCAGAAAAGCAAAATGAAAAATGAAAAATTTAGGGCAACTGAATTAAATTAAACAAAGTCAATATAGAAGCCTCGCACTCTGGATATTTTTCATTTTTGATTAACAGATGTTAATTACCAAATACAAAAGTAATCCGAATTGCCCAAGAACCAAAGAAGGTGATTCATATGTTGTTCCCATCTAATGCTACTTGGGTGAACATACGGAAATATTTCATTATTTTTCTGTCATAATTCTTAGTTATTTTCTACAAATTCAAGCGAACAGAAGCCAGAATGATTTGCAGATAACATAGCAGATTATCTCAAAAGTAGGTGAACAGATTTCCAGAAGTTGTATTGATGAGACCAAACATAACATGAATTTAAAAACTTGAAAGGTCCTAAGTTGCTGATGTTAAAATTTAATTAAATCGCAATAGGACAATATGGGTGCCCAATACCTGAGGAAGCACATGTATTAACAAGGGTTGGAAGAAGAATTTGGGGATCTCTCACATCCATGCAGTTGAACAACAGTATCTGCATTATATAAAAACAAGAATTGAGAAACAAAAACAGAAGTTTCATCCAAGAGGAAATAATGAAGACCAATCGACCACTAGCATGAACTCCCATAAGAGGTATGTCCACTAAAATAGTGCTAATAGCATAAAATGTTCATGGGAAATTCACCTGCTTGAATATTTTCTTGGACTCGTTGTTTCCATGGTTCGCCCTACTATTGCCCCAAACTCTCTCCATAGTTAGAAACTTTGAACAAGAAGGTGAAAATGATGGAGTATTGTTGTTCCCTTTCACAGCAGTAGAGTACCACCTGGCACAGGCTTCCATGCTTTCCGGACTGTGAGCTCCATCCAAGTAGAAGATCAAATCTCCTGAAGAACTTCTGTTCACCCCCGACATATTCAAAGAATTCAAAGAAGAGTCATGAACAATCTGCGCCCTTCCAGAAAGGCGTGCAGTTGAAAGGCCCCTCAAAAATGGATCTGGCAAAATCTTTTCCTCCAGGCTGGCCTAATTTTATGTCCAAAAATGGTTTGAGCAGTTTGATTGAATTTGACCAGCAATGAAGAAAGATAAAAACATAATCTGGAATACAAGAGGAGATCGACCTCTTTTTATTTAAATTCTCCATGTGGTAGAAGATAATAATTTCAAATACAAGCAGAAACCAAAGATCTTTACCCAAACTGTAATGGAATCGAAAATAGTATCAAATTAAGTATAAGAATATCTATCCTTTTCCAGATATGGAAGTTTTCACTATATTATTATAATTCATATATCCCAAAGGAAGGCATCATAACTCTGGAACAATTGAAAACTCAATCTTCTCTTCCCCACACAAGCCTTAACTACCATACTGATTACTTCTAAAGGCACTCTTGTTTTGTAGTCCAAACCCACTCCTAATTCTTGAAACCTGTATTTATTGTCCACTATTTTAAGTGTCTCCCCATGTTCCACAGTAATCTGCCATGAAATGTCTTTGAAATTTCTCCAACTCTTGCACACACAAAAGATTCAAGCTTGCATGATTAACAACCATGTCGAGTCCTAAAATGTCAAACTTTGATAAGCATAATAAATTTCTGCCACTAATTTTCTTCTTTAATTCCTTTTTAGCATGGAATGACAGATTTGACATATTCAGTTACATGACAAGATACTAAAATATGTTTTGAAGTAAGAAACTATAAGATAATAGAACAATGGTAGTATAACTAACCTGCTGAAATTGCTTCTCGCAGTTTCCTGTTCTCTGTAGCCAACATTTACAAAGGGCTACCGCAAGGCCAGCATTGGTGTACTGATGATCACCGGACAAGCTTAATTTTATTCCATTTAACTTCTTGCAATCAAGTGGCATTGCAACTTCCAAAGGGACCTGTTGCAAGGAAGAAAACAGTTAGTTAAAGCTTACTATTATGACCTCAAGTAATTCTATTCCATTTTCTGGATATATTATTATGACCTCAAGTAATTTTACACATGGGGGCTGAAAATGTCTCAACGTCCATTTTTACACAAGTCCATGCTCTAAATAAATAGAACATAAGCTTCTCAATACAGATGCCACTGGATGTGAGTTGTTTGCAAAGAGATAAAAATTTAATTTAATACAAATACATAAAGTCCTTTAAGGAAGAAGTGGATAAAAACATTTTAATAATATCCCATCAGTTCATTTCCTTCCTAACGCTTGAAAAATGCATCAGTTCTAAAATTATATACAACTGCTCATTAATTTGTCAGCTTTTTGAATCCTGACCAACAAAAATATTTGATGCTATTCCTAGTTTAGAAAAGCTAATTAAGAAAGGAATTTAAGCCATCAATGCTTTTTGCTCACTGTTTTGGAGAAAAAATTAAATATAAATGACATCATATTTCCCCAGTCATTGACTAAAAAGCAGAGAAGAATAATCTGCTGTGTATACAGCAGATTTCATGGGAAATCAATATCCTATTTTTTTTTTTTTTTTTTTGTTTAAAATGTTCAGTAATGACATCCATGCCACAAAAAAAAAAAAATTCAGCAAAACAAGGAGGTACCTTTTTCACCAAAAAAAATGTTCTAGATAAGAAAAAGAGAAGAAAACCTCATGTCCATGATTTGACTAAATAAGCATCCAAATTTAATGAAAGGTGGTATTACCATCAATCCACTGGCCCTCTCCACAAGAACATCCATAGCTTCAGATTGTTGTGGTACCGTGAATGCAGGAACTTCAGGCTTCAGGATCAGGGAAGACATCAAGCCATTTCAGAAACACATGAAAATGAAAACTGCCACTCCAAATGTGAAAGTGAAAATGCCACAAATAATGACCAAGTGCCAGATGTTATATACTATTCTGACTTCAAGTAAAAGTTTTGAACCTTGAATATTCCGGCCTTGTGAGAAGCAATCAAGCCTAGCGTATCTCCTGCACATAAATTGAGAGGCACCAAATGAACTATCTTATATGATATTCATGTGCCAAAAGACGGTAATGCAGGAAGAAACAAAAAAATTTGAGGGCACCAAGTGTAACAGTGGCCTTTTACTAGACATCATAGCCCATATGTAATAAATGAACGGAAGACTGAACAATTAATAAGATATAAAGTGAGGAAGTTAAGCAATACAGGTTCAGAAATTACACACCCAATGTTTCTATGTGATCCATTCCCAGTGGACTAATGCCACAGACAACAGGATACTTGATCTGCACTACCAACAAAATGATATTAGAACGGATATTAGTATTTAGTTTTAACTTCTCTATAAAAGAGTACAATAATATTTCTGATAAGTACCCCAGCTGCTCAGCATATATCCATATGGCATTGTGCAATCAAAATTTTAAAAAGTTGACTACCAGCATTTTTGGAAAGAGTTTATAAACGGTTTAAATGATGAATAGATATAAATGAGGAGTGGATTGTACTTGTGGGTCCCTTGAAATATGTGGATAAAAAGTGGTCGGAGTATTTATAAATAGTGAAAAACATGAGCAAACATAAGCTAAGATAGCAACAATTAATTCAGCCGAGTCCACAAAAAGGCACATTACCACATTTGTTGAATCATTAGACCCTCCAATACCAACTTCAATGATAGCAACATCTACCTGTAAACAGAACAGTCAGAGCATACAATAATAATATATAAGCGTCAATCATTCATCATAATTAAGGGAAGTAATAATAAAATATAGCAACTTTTGGGGATAAAGGAAGAGATATACTGGGCAAAATATGCCATGCATTGAGATATAAATACCCTACCTTTTCAGTAGAAAAGATTTTAAATGCCAAAACCGTGAGGAATTGGAATAGTGGAGGCATAGGCAAATCATCTGTGACATTTTCCTGAAAATTAAATGCCATAAATCAAGAGAGTCCACTGCTATTAAGACCAGGCGCTTCAGTAACAATGTAATCCAAATTTTAAGACCTTTGGATTTGAAGAATATCACATTCCTTTTCAAGTACTATTTCTATCTTGAATACTCACAAAATGAAAATATAAAGTTCCCAATTTATATCCCTGCCACAAGTAGCAAAAGATAACCAAGACCAGAATCTTAACCAAGTTGCAAAAGATTAGAACATACATCATCAATCTAAAGTGGCTAGCAAATCCATCATAATCCTTAGTTCTCAGCCTATTTTAAATCTATTATGTTTATACGAATCCATTATGTGGCCTAACAAATAAGACTAGCAGGAAAACAGAGAGGGATACATAAGACTAACCAGATGTAGGACAAGAAACTTGGAGGAATGAAAAAGCAAAAGACCAATGATCAAAACTAGGAAAAATTATACAAAAATTTCAAATCAACAATAAGACAGAAGAGTTTGAAAGACTGCCTTCAGCTGATTCCAACATTCCCAAAAGTAATGGAGAAATTTATCTTCAGCTATGTCCAGCCTACAGGTTACAGGAAAAAGAAATCAGCAAACATAACAGCTTTCAAATAACCTAATTTGAAATGTAAATATTTACAAAACAATGGTCAAAGTTCACATTCTAGAGTATTCAGAATATTGTAAGTACTCTACATGTCATATAATTCTACTCCAACTCCAAAACAATAAGGTTAAAACTCTATTAGAGAAAAATACCAAATGGCAGTAGAGGTTAGTTTAAAATATGGCAAGCAAATTCTGTGTTATATGCCTGAACAACCATATAAATCCAAATATAGAAATGTAACTCAATTCTTTTTGAAACAGCCCATGTGAAACTGTAATAACACATAAGAGTAAAATATAAACATGAGATCCAATGCATATATGAAATTATTTGATAAATAGAAAAGCTCTAACATTACTCATCCTACCTAACCAACAACAGCTTTAACAATATTTAAACTATAATGAGAATGGGATTTTAACTCCTAGTGGTTTTTGATTTGAATCAACCCCTATTGTTCTAAAGACCAACAACTATATTTTACCTTTGTCGTCAAACATGAGAGAACGGGAAGTTCATGTAAAAGTACACAACACGGGTGTGGGAGTGGCGAGAGAAGGGAAGGGAGAAGAGAGTCAGTTGAAGGTGACAGTTAGGGATGAAAGGCGATTTGGAAATATTCCAAAATCATGAGGGCATGAAATCATGAATGGATTCATATGCCAGAAACACCCTTATAAAATTCTCAACATCCATTAAGTCTTTGTTTGCCTCTCATTTCTAAAACTCATTGTTCCTCAAACTCATTTTCAACCACACGTTTCATTGCACTCCAGCTTTTATCAACTTTCCAACCACACATTTCATCCGTTTTTATCTACAAATCTGACTTTTTATTAAACCAAATAGGGTCAAAATGTTTAGTACTTGTTTAAGCAGTAAAAAGTTAAAGAAAGCATTGCTTTTCAGGTAAAAACTTAAAAAAGTTTCACTAGCAGAAGCAATAGCATTTACCTAGGCCATAAGGATAACTTGGAAGAAAAATGATAGGCCCCCAATCAAATACACCTATTCTAGAAGGATCAAGAAGGCTGTGGAGGAGTAACAAATTCTGTTGAGCAAAGGTGACATGGTGAGAGTTAGTTACACCGGGGGGTTATAAATAGAATAAGTGCTGAAAAAAATTGTGAGAAGTAATATTAGGAGAGCATGGCCATCTCGAATGGCCTCTTATGATTTCCATTTTGAGTTGTAGTTTTTTCATTGAATTAATACAAATCAATTCCTGCTTCCTTTCTAATTGGAATCTATCAAAAAACTACTGTGACGAAAATATTGATCCGCACCTTGTTGAGTTTAAAAAGTATCTTAATGTAAACGAAGGGTTATGAGCAATGTCATCATATGTATGCAAAGGTTCACAACCAATTTTTACTCCTTAAGATTAAACTAGTGGCTATCACCTCATAGATAAATTAATAAAGGAGAAAAGATTCACAAACAATTTTTACTACTTTTATGTGTCAAAATGCAAAGCAAAAAAAAAAAAAAGTAGAGAACAGGAAGCGGACCCGTCTAGACAAAATCTTTCTTTCACGTCAATTAAGTGAGGAGAAGGACAAAAGGTTCACAAACAATTTTTACTACTTTCAAAATGCAAAGCAAAAAAAAGTAGAGAAAAGGAAGGAAGGAAGAAAGAAGCATTTAAATGCTGACCCGTCTAGACGAAATCTTTCTCTCACATCAATTAAGTGAGGAGAAGTAAACAATCCAGTTCGGAAACCACACTCCCTCAAAATTGCCTCACAGAAAGTGCATGTGGAGCCCTGAAATACTAAAGGTTAGAAGAAAAGAAAAGGAGAGAAGAAAGGTAGAAAACCAAATATCTAACCATACATCAATTCCTTTAAATGTTCAATAAATCTCATGTGGATACTTGCATGACAATATACACAAGAATTCATGCTCTAGTAAATAATCATCATCTTGGCCAATGGACTGGGTAAGCATATTGGAACATAACCACCAGGTTAATCCTTAATCTCCAGCGAATAATAATTTTCAAGAATATTTAAAAATCGACTTCATCAAGAGTGCCACTGTTTTCCTTTTTCTAATAATAAGACGCAAACTAGTACAAGGTATTTAATGAAAACTCCAAAACACATGAACAAAAACTAAGCATCTTCTTCTGCATTTCCAAATTCAAGAGGCAACCTAAATGAAAAGTCCACCAAGTGCAGTAAATTTGATGCACAGAAGCTTCTCCTTAGAATGTATTAAGCAAATGACAAGGTATTGTTGCCAGTCTTTTGATAATTAGAAGCGTACTTTCTTTCAGAAAAATGGATAAATTTCAAATTTTTTTTAAGTGATTATGCACATATATAACAAGAATACCTTTCCTTTAGTTCCAGCAACGTGGATAATTTTGAGGTTGGCAAGATGTTCTTCCAAACCCAGAATCTGTAACAAATAAACATGCACTTCTTTGTTATTTCTAGGCAATGCCAAAGTACATTTGAAAAAATCAATAACCTATCTGTTTAGTGATACTCAACCATAAAGCTTCAGAGCTGAAAAAACAAGCTCTCATCAAAAGATGAGAAGAAAAAAAGTGGTGCAGAAGCATTTGTGAAATTCTTGTAATAAGAATTATGTATTAAATAAGAACGATTTGGAATGATCTTGCTTTGTGTATATTGAATAACAATTGATGTTGCAAAAAAGTGTACAATGCCTTTGTACTTATAGGCAAAATTATTCCATAATCCTATTAATATAAAAAAACTACAATAAGGAAACTAAATTCTATAAAAAATGAACTAAAATCCTAATATAAAAGAAATCAAAAATCATATTCTAAATAAAAAATAAGAATAAAAAGATAAAACCTATGACAATTAGATATCTAACTTATTATAAATATCCAACTTTTATCCTATTTACAGTAGGATTCTCCTACATCAAAAAGATCTTCAAAGACAACACGAACAAGAGGTTCTCAATTGTTCATTTGCATTAAACTCAAGGTTTGTAGATAGGAAATATGAATGCAACCAGATCTCATACATCCCAAGTGGGGTCTAAAGAAGAAACTAATATTTATTTACACATCTGAGTTGAGGATAATAAATGACAGTTTCAATTGCCAGCTAAATGCCTGGAAAATAAATATAAACAAAAAAAGTGTTCAATTGAAAAATAAAATAAATTGCGTCATTCTGTCAGCCTTAAGTGACTAGCTCATATCAGGACACTGTTGTGGTCGATCAGAGTGACCAAAGGAAGTACCTCTCTTCTCCTCCCACCCCTTCCCCCTCCTGGCAGCTTGTGTTAGCACACAGCTCCTTCCGATTATCAAATTGAATTACACCACTGAATAAGAACCCTAGAATTTGGCAGCTAGTGAAGTTTCTTTCATCTTTGAAATGAGTCAATTGTCTGTTTTAGAAGATTAAAGGCATAAACAAAATCCTTAAATGGAAGACAAGTTAAAATTATTGGGTTGTCAACACTGAGTCTGTGGAAAAAAGTTTACTTTACCCAAGGAAACAGAAGTAAATAATCAGGTCCAAGAGTTAACTTACCATGATCGAATATAAATGCTATTTAAATGAAGGACGCAACTAAATGAAACTACATCAAACTGCATATGTATACATAGATGTGGAAAAATAATATTTATTACATTTTAACAAAATCATTACATAAATTTCCTAACAAAGAAAAGAAGTTATCAAATGAATTGTCTCCGCATGGTTACCTTAACATACATCAACATCCTGTCCAATTTTTTATATTTACCAACTGGAGACCTATCTCCACGCTTTTGGCGAGTAATGAGGGAGGAAAGTGCTTCCATGGCAGTGTCATAAGGAGATGAAAGACGCGAGTCCTTTGAGTTTTCTTCAATCGCCGCCCTGCTGTCCATTTTTTCAAGATGCTGGGATGAAAGTTTCCTATATTTAAAACCTACGATGTTAAGCCAGACAACTTATGAGAAACGTTCTTGATAACATTTAATCAAGCCACTAAAAGGAAAAACATGGATTCATGGCATAATAAATTTTACATAAAAAATAAATTGTACCTTTCTGTCCAATCTCAACAAGTGACTTCAATCTTTTAGCTCCAGTGATATCAAAGGAATCCATGCCCATGGGCAAAGAAAAAACAGTCCATGCTAATTTATCAGAGTTTAGGCATTCCCTCATATGGAAGTGTGAGACGCCAGCTACTCCCAGACTCAGATAAGGGGGCTTATATATGAGCATAGGTCAATTAAATCTTGCAAATGACAAAAGCTTCCAGTTAGTAATCTTGGTAAATAAATTTACCTTTCTTCCCAATCTCAACAAGTGACTTCAATCTTTTAGCTCCAGTGATATCAAAGGAATTCATGCCCATGGGCAAAGAAAAAACAGTCCATGCTAAGTTATCAGAGATTAGGCATTCCCTCATATGGAAGTGTGAAACGCCAGCTACTCCCAGACACAGATAAGGGGGCTTATAAATGAGCATAGGTCAATTGAATCTTGCAAATGACAAAAGCTTCCAGTTAGTAATCTTGGTAAAACTCCCTCACTATGATGAATCCAATACATAAAATAATCAGCACCTTTGACTGGTGTTAAGCTTTCTATGATGCCTAAAAATTGGAAAAATTAGAACCACTCAATAGTAATGTACAAGATGTTAAGATTTGGGGTTCATCTTAAAAGGTCAACCTCATTAAGGGGAGTACTCCAATCCCATATAAGTTGATATATGTTTTCATCTTTATTCAGTGGGATTTTATCCCTTGTGATGCTTTCGCAAGATGGTGGTTCAGACCCATCTTGAAATCCTTGTAATCATTTTTTGAGTTTTAATCGAATAGAATTGATCGTTGGAGTTTAATGGGCTTTAATTTCATGTCAAGACTAGTGGTTACATCTTAAAAAGTTGGTCTATTTCATCTATGGAATTTTATCCCTTAACACACAACACCCACCCAAAAAAGGGAATTTGCTACAGGCTTCACCGTTTGGGCCAATTTGCCAACAGTTTTAAACGGGCAGGATATTACAGCTCTACCTATAATTCGTTTTAGGGGGTTAGGGAGGAGGGGAAAAAAACCTGGAGATTTTGTTGCCATTTTTAACTAAGAGACAAAGAAGTCATCAAATAATCCAAAAAAGAATAAGAAATTCCAAAATCAAAATCAATTCAACAATAAAAACAAGAAAATGAAATCACCTTGCCCATCCGTAAAAAACAGTAAAATCCCATCGATAACGCCAACAAACTTATAGTCATACATACATACATACATATGTTATATATACACAGAGACAGAGACAGAAACAGAGACGTACTAGAGTGAAGGTTGTTAAGATATTTTGCAGATACTTACTTGGGAATTCCCATCTTCATATTCCTGGTTCTTGACAGAAACACAATCTTTGTTGGGTACTTGATGAATGACTGTGGCAACTGGCAAGGCAACTGCCAATTCTTATACTGAAGTGGCCGCTAAGAAAGCGTATTTACATTAATGTCCCTGCCTTATTCGGTATTAATTATTCTACATCTAGATTTCTAGGGTTTACCTATAAGGCTCGGTGTTTTTCTTTCTTTCATTTTACACCCATGTAATTTTTTAACCGTTATTATTTATATAAAACATAATCAAAAAAGAAAAATGGATAGTTAAAATATTGTCTATTGTTCGATTATCGACACTTTCTCTCTTTTGATGTCAATGTGAAGTGGTAACACGTTTCATTTATATTTGAAGAAACTTTCGACGTCTATTTATTATATTAGATTTGTGATCCCATAATATCAATTGAAATGTGGAATAAAATATATAAACCATATTCGTCAATAAAACAATCTAAATTCAAATATAGATTTTTTGCACGTATGGGTTAATTTCAGTAGTCGTCACTAAAATTTGTTAACCTTTTCAAAATGGTTAATGAAGTAATTTTCTTACAAATGTAGTAATCACTGTTTCTAATAGTTATACGAATGGTTAATCGACTCGAAACGTTAACCTAAAACTCTAGGTATCTATAGTAAATTTCATCGTGGACATTTAATTAATCCGTAACGCAAACAAAGTCGCATTGATGTATGTTAAAGGCATAAAATTATTACACGATTTCTCCATATTTGTTCAGTTTTTGGTAAGCAATTAGTGAAGCTTCACATTTCTGTTGATGGATTTTTTAAAGTTGTCTCGCGTGGTGTGCTAGCTAATGTCATTTGTCTACCGTTGGACTTTAACAGTGCACGTAGAATTTTAGGTTAACATCTCAAATCGAGTGACCATTAGTATAACTATTAAATACTTCAGCAATTACTAATTGTTGCTAAATTAACTCCTCACATTTTGTGTCCTTTCTTTTATGGCATGCCTTGTACATACAATGAGTATCAAAATATTTAGACACATATGATATCATGGAAAATCGATCATGGAAAAGGAAAGTATATAAAATTAAGAGATAATTGCAGCAAAAGCTCCAATCTTTAAAACATTAGCAAACTTTCCCCAAATCTTTGATTTGTTGCAGCCGTCACCCTTAACATTTTGAAATGTTGTAGGTAAGGCCCTTTTGAACGGTTTCCATCCAAAAATATCGTCATTTGATCCAAAAAATTGATTTTGACCACATTTTTATCAATTTTTAAAAGGGCAAAATGGTAATTATCTATTAATCACATTAAATAATTAAATAACAAACAAAAAATGAAATTAAAAAAAAAAAGTTGACCCCAAACCAAAACCACTTGTTCTCTTCTTTTGCTTCCAAGCATTAAACTCCAGGGGCAGCAGTAGGCGGCATCAAAATTGTTCGCAAAAAGCTATTTAAGTCCAAGAAATCACGCTACGTTTCCAGTTCGAAGACCGACCCATTTTTGTATGCAAATCTTTACTGGGTTTTCTCAGTTTATTGCCTGTATTTTTTCTTCAATTGTTTCTGCGATCTGATTACGCACAAAGTGTTAAGCGGTGTTGTAGTATAGCTTTAGGGTGTCGTATCCACAGGGAGATGGAAAAGTGAATCAAGAGGTTCAATAACTTTGGGTTCTCGTGAATTTGATGAAGGGAATTTGTTTATTGCATTCAAATGTAAATGTCACCGGAAATAATGATGAAA